TCCCTGCCTCAGACCCCCCCCCTTTTTTTTTTTCAGTTGAACAGGCAACTCTGTCTCCCAGGTGTTCCAGTTGCCTATTGAAATGGTGCTGGGATCTGTGTGATTTACTGTGTGGCAACCCACTGTGCCAGCTGAAACAGCCATGCTGAGATTTGTGGTGCTTTTTTAGTCCGGTAATCTCCTGGCCTGGCTCTCTGTTTCAGTCCCCTTTTTTATCAGTTGAATGGGCAATTCTGTCTCACAGGAGCTCCAATCACCAGCTAAAACAGCACCCGGACCCATGTATTTTGTACAGAGACCTGCTGCCCTGGGGCACCAGTCAAAACAGCCACACTGGCAACCAGTGGGGCTCCTCCACTTGGGAATCTCCTGATCTGTGGACAATAAAAATTTGTCTGGAAATGCGGCATCCACTCACCCTCCATGCCTTCGCTGGGAGCTGCAATCCTGAGCTGCTCCTAATCGGCCATCTTGGATCTGTCCTTCAAGAAAGTGCTTGTTGATGAGGCCTCATGCTGATTGTTTTTTCTTTTCCTTTCCTCTCCTCTCCTTTTACAATCACATTTCCCTCATTTTACAAAAGATAGGCATACTTCCTACCCATCCTAAATCTTACTATAGCTCTGGGCTCCAGTTGTAGGCATAAAAATGTCCAGGGCACCAGACAAAGGGACAGCAAGGAGGTTTGTTGTCTGTGAAGTCTTTTTCTTTATCAGTTAACCACAACCACTCTCATCTGTCTCCTATATTTGTAGTTCTATTAAAGTTTTGTTTTTCATGGGTAATAATTATTTAAAAATTTACTATAGACATGTGGTTTTGATCATGCATATGCTAGTAATGAAGGTAACCATAAGTCATACCTAAAATTTTTTTCTTTATGAGCCTTGTTTTATTTTCTCTGAAAATAAAATAAGAATCTCAGTATATAGCTATTGTTTTATGACTGAGAAATATGATGGAGGGACAATATAAGACTTTCAGGCATAAAAATATATTACATAAGAAACAAACTCTGAGGAAACAGAATGTAAATAATGATTTTGATAAAAGAAAGTGGTGTACAAATTCCAACTCCATTTTTCAAATGGATGTTGGTTGGTATTAAATGACTAGGGTTTTAATAGTTTATCAGATATATTAAAAAGTCATGCAGTAGCTTATTTTTAAGTGCCAATACTTAGAGCAGCTATTATACCCTTTGCAACTATTTAAGCTTGTGATAAAAAAATGTTAGTTGTCAACTTTATAATGTGCAATGTGGATTCATGGTTTAAAAAGAATTTTAGGGAGCATATAAGCAAAAAAATTAAAAGACCAATGCTCTAAGAAATGATAGGCCTTATTTTGAGTATCTGAATAACTGGGGCTGAGGATGAAGTGGGGACTGAGTGGCCAGAAAGAGAATTCAGGAGAGGATGAAGAGTAGAAAAGGTGATCTGGAAGTAGAGGCTGGTTCCCCTATGATATGGTTTGGCTGTGTCCCCACCCAAATCTCATCTTGCATTGTTGCTATCATAATCCCCTGTCATGTAAGGGACCCTGTGGGAGGTAACTGAATCATGAGGGCAGGTTTTTTCTATGCTGTTCTCATGATAGGGAATAAGTATCATGAGATCTGATGGTTTTATAAAGGGCAGTTCACCTGCACACACTCTCTCTTGCCTACTGCCATGTAAGACGTGCCTTTGCTCCTCCTTTACCTTCTGTCATAACTGTGAGGACTCCCCAGCCAGGTGGAACTGTGTATCCATCAAACTTCTTTTTCTTTATACATTACGCAGTCTCAGGTATTTCTTCATAGCAGTATGAAAATGGACTAATGCATCCTGAAAGTAACTAAACAACTCTGGACAGTGTTCAAACACAGTATAAATGGAGGCTAGAGGTAGGTAGTGATAATCTGAAGATCCAGCACAGCAGGCTTAGCCTAACCTGGGTGGGGGCTTTGTCCAGAAGGTTGGTAAACCTCAAAGTCATGTATATGAGGGGTGATAAGCCTGGATTCCAGCTGGGAACCTGACAAAGATGTCAAGACCTGAAATCAAAGACACTGGGCTTCAGAAGAAGGTTCTCATATTAGGATTAGGCTAATCAGTGGTTAGGCTATTGAAACAACCAACCTCAGTATCTCAGTGGTTTAATACAGAGCTTTTCCCCTCCCTCATATAACAGTTTGATGACTCAATGTCATGACAGGCCCCTGTTAATCTCAACAGGGAAGATACCATGTTTGAGAGGCTGAAGAAGAGACCCAGAGCTAGCAAATGAGCCATAGATTATTATTGGAGGAAATTTACACACAGAGATGGTCCAGTGACAATGGGCCAGACAGGAGAGCCACACTCACTTGCAAATACCACGTGGTCTATATAGCATATAGCACATAGCATTTCCATTTTGCACCCTCCCCTTAACAACCTCCACCTGTCAACCCATTTAACCCAAAACAAAGGGCTTTGATTCCTTGTATGGCTTGTGTTCCATGGGACAGGCTAGGGGTTCAGATATTCACCATAGTTAAGAAATGAATCTCCAAGTTGGCCACTCCTAGATTCCTGAGCTTGGAACTCTGAACATACATTGAGGTGTGTCTACCATTCAGGGTCATTCTCAGGTATGCTTAAGTTATTGCTGTCATGTGTGTCTGTCATGTGCTCAGGGATCTGAGCGCCTTCCTTCTTAGTCTCCATCTTCTCCAAGAGCCAGAAGAAGAAGAGAGGGGATCAGGTGGCACTATTTATGGGCCTTCCATGGAAGTGACACCTGGGGTTACTTCTGCTTATATTCCTTCGAACATAATTCAGTTGAATGATCATACTAGAGGCAAGGAAGCCTGAAAAAATTATCTAGGTGAATGTCCAGAAGGTAAAGAAATAGGTTTGGTAAACTCCTGATGTTTCCCACCCCTGTCAAACTCTGGAGTCAGGCTTTGGTCTGGGTTAACATGCTGATTACCTAATTTCCATAAGCCTGTTTCTTTAACTGCAAAACAGGGATAATAATAGGACCTATTTTGTAGTATGAGGAATAAATGAGATGTGGAAGGCACAGGTTTAGGATTCAGTAACTGTTAACTCTCTGTACTGTTTCCAGGCATCCTGCCAGGCTTTGCAGGATGAAAAGATGTCAGAAGCAGGGACTTTGGACTCAAGTTCTCCCTGACTCAAAGCCCAGAGAGAGAGGATGATTGCCACCTTTGACTGGTCCTATCTCTTCCAAAGGGTCCTTTTGATTTATTACCAAGAAGGCATCTTCTAACCACAAAGGTAAGATTTCAATAATTCTCACCCAGTTCCTAGCTAAAGATGTACAAAGAAACTTCTAAGCCAATGATTTCCAAAGAGGAAATTGAATTTGTATGCTTTGAAGAGTGGGGCTTGATGATTGGGTGGTGTGTTATGGTTAAGTGTGGATGGAAGAGATATCCCACATGCAGCACGTGATGGGCCCCCAGGGACTGATGGCTTATGTATGACTGAGAGTCTACCCAGCTTGGCTTCATTATCAATTCTTGCCATCTCAGAGTCCAAATGCTCTCCAGGCATGAAGTCATTTCCTCCAAAAAATTTGAAGATGCCAAATATAAAATCAGTTGCCTCAAAAGTACCTTAAGCTAAGGTCACTATTCTTATTCCTCTGAGAAAGGTGAAAGGCATTTGATGGATAAAAATAGAACTGAACCCTAACTTGTAACCACTCAGCTTTAACTGGAAGTTGTCACCAAGTAAGAGATGCCCATCAACCTTGCACACAAAGCTGGTGCTAGTCTATGAACTGCTGGTGAAGTCATATTATGAAACAGTGTCTCTAAAGATATACCACCCATTCCCATACTATCAGCCATCCTGCCCCAGCATATCAGCAGGGAATATTTCCTTTGAAGGCACAAGTGGTTTGAAATATTGAATTGGAAAAATGCTCAAGGCATTACTTCTGCTCTCCTGGGCCCCATGCAGTTATCTACTGAAGGACTCAGATGTACCAGAGACAATTCATTTGTTGTCATTAGTTCTCCCCACAATATTCAGAAGTGAGTATATCTTCATTTCACAGATGAGATTTATATTCAAAACTGTTTAGAATCTGCTCAAGGTCACATACCCACTAGGTGATAGATGTGAATCCAGAATTGTGCTCCTCAGCACAGAGCCCTCTTCTCACTATGCCAGAGATGCTGAGTTTCTTGGCCTGGGCTGCAGCCCCACACAGCTGGTTTTGAGCTCCTTGGGTGAATCGACTGGGCTACCTGGGCTGAGAACCACTGCTCTACATCACCCTTCTTATATGAATCAGGGGTTTTATTCCATCTTGCATCACAGGTTCCTTTAGGGGAGTGAAAAAAAAGCTGCAGGTCTTCTCTACAGCAAAATAAATGTGTTTATACACAAAAAAGTTGCATACAATTTCAGATAATTATGGAATCTCCGAAGCTTCTACATGGATTCCCCAAAGGTCATGAACTTGAATTAAGATCCAAGCCTATAAATCCTTGACATCAGTTACTTGGCTGCACAGCGAGTTGGCTGCGAGCAGTTTAAATATTCAGATTTCTGGGCCCCATCCAAGAACTACTGATTCAGAATCTCTGGATTTATACTCCTAGATGTTGCTGAATTATTTTTTATATATTAAAGAACAAACCAGTCTGTGGACTGGCTTTTGGGAACCACCCCTCTAAATGATGCCCATTCTGGGGATCAGAATTCATCTCAGCCACTTTGACCTGTGTAACATTAGGTAAGCTACTTAACTCCCCTTTCAACTTTGTCTTCTGTAAATGGGGATAGTTGTCCCTACCTCAGAGTTAATATGGAATAAAATATTCCATCTAAGTGTTTAGCACAGTGTCTGGCACATAACTACCCAATGTCAATTTATTACTAATTATATAGTATTACCATTTTATTATCTAGGTAATAGTCACCATAAATGGTCTCTTTTTTACTGAGGTGGAAACAATACCATTGCTAGCCAAATGTTAATAAAAATACATGAAAGAAAGGAAAAAATTCAAAGTTTATTCAACATTAAGAATAACAGACAGATAAAGGTTTGGACTTAACAGCATAAATACCACCAATATCATGGTGTACAATGAAACTAACCTCATGTCAACTAGTACCTGTTTAACAGATGCGATCTTTGTGGTGTTGCCAAAAGGATAGTGGGTTATTGTTATGTTTGGTAAGGTGCTCAAAAATTAGACTTTGTCGACTTAAATACACACACACACATACACACACACACACACACACACACACACACACACTCTTAGCCTTCTGCAAAATGTATTGACTTTAGTTGCTATATCCGATTCGGATAAGGCTTTGCTCATTTTTTTAAATGACATTATTAATTGCAGAAAAAAACTGGAGGAGACCTTGGCTTTGCCAGTGGGGGTACCTAGAAGCCCTCAGGAGGACATGGGCGACTAGGGGCAGAAGGTGCCCATCACCTGGAGGGCAGAACACTTAGTCTCAGACACCTACAGGGTGCTGAGACCCCAGTGCTAAATCCAGATCTCCAACTGTCATCACACACAGGTAAGCAGGCCTGGTCCCCTGCCTTGGGATCGCTTTAATTAACTGTGATTAAGTTTTTCTTAAAGGGACACTAGGGTAAAATGAGATAAACTACTAGAAAAACCAAAGTATAGCTTGGCATTTTACAGAATGTCTGTTGTTTTACCCGGGGACAGTGGGGAAGGTGACCCTGAAAATTCTTCTTGGTTCTTCTGAAAACAGACCCTAGACCTTTGAATGTACATTTGGAATTGCTGTGAGTTCCCTACCAAACCAGTGGGTGAGAAGGAATTTCTGGGTTATCTAGTACAAGTTCCCACTCACCCACTGTGGAATTCCATCTACACTCTCCTCAAACAAAGGTCCTTCTGCTTTGAGGGATGGGTCCTTGGAGGCCTGTTGTATTGAAGACAAAAAGCCTATCACAGTCTTGCCTAATGTGGTTTTTGAATGGTCCAAAGTGGCCACTCTCTGAAAGGAAAGAAGTAATCATTTACAGCCCTCTCCTCCACTAACTACCTTCTTAAGGCAGCACCAGCAAAACAATAGGCTGGTCAGTTTTTGCCTTTCTTTGCCAAATCTAGTCAAAGGAAACAACAACGTAACCTCATCAGGAGGTCCTAAGCTGCTCCTTCCAAATTATGTCTAGATGATGTCATTGTGATATGATTTGGATTCACTGTTAATGGCCAAATAATCTCAGAAAGATGCTTAGGATGAAAAGGTGAAAAATGACATAGGGTCTCCGATAATAGCTGCAGTCTGCAGGCATGCATCTGACCCTGGCTGACCCACATTACTGAGTCAACGCATGGCCTCCCGCTCCATGGAGCAGATCTGCCTTTTTGCTAGTTAACTGCTCCGGATGGACAGGCAGCCAGTCCAGGAGGGAGTGTTCGTGTGTGTGAATCGTGACAATGACCTACATATAAGGCACCTGTACAGACTACAAAGTGTTTAAATTTTTAAGACGAGGTAGGTTTCTGAAACCTCTCCTGGCACACAAAAGAATACATTTTATTAGAATCTTTTTATTTTTTTGCAGAAAATATTTGAGATGCTCATTTGATATAAACGTCTAATCCAAGAAAGACCAGTGTTCGAATATAGTTTTTCAGCTACCATTTGATATGGCCATAAATTTGGATGGTCCATGTTGCAGTCCTTCCACAATTCTCCACTTAAAGACATAATATTTTTTTTTGTTTTAATGACTGTTGCCATTTAACAATTCTACAATTCGCCTCTTTGCCTGTAAAATGGCCAACTCTATGTCCACTTGTTTCTCATACTGATTATCTTTTATTTAGCTCTGCTTAAGACTGCAGAAGTTTTTGATTTTCTTATCCACCTGAACAATATTGCAATTCCAATATACCCCCATCTCCTACTGTCATCTATAGCTTGGGACAAAATGAACACCTAGTAGAAATATCCTACTGGTTGGGTTTCCCAAGGTTATGACACTATGAGAGAAGCATTGCTTATGGACTGACAAGGAGACCACCAGATCATTAAAGAATTAGATACTCTGAAGGCAGGAAACTAGAAAATCCAATTGATGAAAGGATAATTTAATCTAGCATAAAATGTTTGTCATAACAGCAGAATTTCTTGACATTTTACAACTTAAGGAAACAAAAGAACAATCATCTTTAAAGTCAAACATTTATCAAATTATAAACCAAACACATAGCACCGATATCAACCTCATAAAACGTGCGGGCCCGCAGGGTAGAACAGAACTGTCTGGGACATTGGCAGCAACGCGCCATTCCAGGAACTCAGAATTTCGAAGTGAACATTTTTGTGGCAGATGCTTTTCCTAAAAAACACTGTATCATCCAATAAATATTTGACTAAAATCCATTTTGTGCTTTTGGGTGATGTTAACTGACTTCTTTCTGAGGCCTAATAAGAAACAAGAAAGCTCCTTGTGTGTTTTAGAGCAGGATTCATCATCACAAGCCTCGATACTGTCATAAAATTTTAATTTAAAGCAGAAAACATGCTGATGTGTCAGTGATAGGGCTTAAAATATTAAAGACTTCAAAACCCCCAAGCGCTTCTTCTCTGTACAACATTGGTGAATATATATCTTTGCTATATAATTTTAAAACATGGAATAGTTTTCCTCTTCTCTTTTCTATATATAATATATGTCTTCCAAAATACATTGTCAGTATTTATATCTGAAAAATACTGTACAAAAAAGAACTTCCTATAATTACTCTGTATAAACATTAAACAATTTAATAATCTCTTCTTTTGGTCTGTAGTAAACATTTAAATTGATTGGATTAACCACAGTTTGTGACAACACCATCCCCTTCTGAGATACACCAGTGTCTTTTACATTCAATTTTCAGAAGTCCACTTTATAAGAGCACATACGTTCAAAAGCAAACAGAGAATAAGAAACATAAGCTTCAGAATCATTAATTTATGAGGCATTCAATAATGACACCACTAGGAAAAGGGCCTTATAAAACATCAACTTATTAACTGATTTTCTTTTTAAAAACAGCAAAGTATAATTCACAAAAATATATATATTACCAAAAAATGGGAAAACTGAATCTTAAGTAACTGTTTTGAATATCAAGAAGGATGTGGAAAAACTAGAAAAGTAGGGGCAAGGCAGGGTGTCAAGGAAGGGAAACAACAAAACCAAACACATCAATATCAAAGGCTAATCCAAGACGCAGTTTTTGGCTCGTGTACTAATAAACTAACCCTTCATCCTTAGACCTCCCATTTCCCTCTGCTTCCTTGTCCTAGGGAATAGTCTGGCCATGCTCAAATGCATTACTTTACTTTTTGTTTTTTAAAAGATAGTGAAATTCTTAGGTAGGGAGAATATCCTACGTCCACTAGTAATACTCAGGCAGCATGCTCTAGCGTACAATAGGATTATTGCTTTAGGTACAGACAGTGCAAAAACACACTCTGTGTTCTATAATAGTACTCTTACTTATCTGGGGTTGGTAGAATTAAAAGGAAACTTAGTAGATAGCAGGAAGTAAATATGGGATCTAATAAATCTAAACAGCACTTTAATTTGAAGACGATTATCACCAAAACTGAAAGTAAGAGGAAAGCGACCTATAACGGACTAGAGCTGCGGTGTAGTGCGAAGTTATTGTATGCACCTCATTAGCATGGTAACTTACGGACTAAACAGAAACAAGAGCTTGTCCTCTTAAATACTGAGATCCACTATCTTACCAGGGCCCTTTTTAGTGCATCCAAGCAGAGAGTCCTGGAAGAGTAGGTAAGCTCAAACATGAAGCAACGCTGGAGGCAGGAGTGAAGGAGGGAGGGGACGGGAGACCCACGAGAGGGCTCCTCAGTCTAGTAAAAACATGGCACCTTTCTTTGTTGGAACTAAAAGACAATGAGAGGGCTATCTTAAAGTGGCAAGAGCAAAGAAACACGCACACGCAAATACCGCTGACCATACACATGAGCACAAGCACATATACACGCACGCAAACACACAGATGCACACCAAAATGGGAGTCAGTTGTGTTTATGCCTCTGGTAAAGTGCTGATGTCAGAAAGGTTGGTTTGGGTGTGGTGCTATCAGACAGGAAACAAACTGTCCATCTATTCCAAAGCCAGCCCACAAAAATGCCATCCTACAGGGGCCCGTGCCTGGCCTCATACTTGGCAAGTATGTTCTTGCATTTGCCCAGCTCCTTCCTCAAGTCAGCCACCTCCTGGCGGAGGGCCGAGTTCTCCTTCTCCAGGAACGAGGCCCGGATGGCGATCTGGTTCTCCTTCAGCCTCCGGGCGTCACGGGAGCGCTTGGCTGCCATGTTGTTCTTTCTGCGCCTTGCCCAGTACTTGTCATCCTGCTCATTAGTTACAGAAGGAAAAAAGAAACAAGATATTAGATTTCAGCAAAGCCCAGTGCCAGCCAGGGCATGGGCAGCCTCCAGGATTGTGCTGAGGCACCAGCCCAGGTTTCCTAGCTTGTGTCTCCTTCCCTTACAGTTTCTTGTCTGAGAGCATGGCCTGTGAGCCACACTTCCTTCCTGGAGCAAGGACCCGCCAACCCTCCTCCTGTCCATATGTATAGTTTTTCCTTATTTTTCCTATTGCACAGGATCCTCCTCTGTCCAGCAGAGGTATGGTCAATGAAGCAGAGATCAGAGGCTGAATAAAGGCAGGTGGCTCACCTCGCCCTTTAAATTATATTCCAACTCTCTTTAAACTCCTTGCTCAACATTTTATTTTAAGAACCCTTTTCCTCCATCAGCACTCATAGGATTTTTGGGTATAAGTTGGTGCAAAATTTTTATAAGGCAATTTGGCAATATCTACAACTGTTTATTTATATATTTTTGAGACAGTCTCCCTCTGTCACCCAGGCTGGAGTGGAGTGGCCCGATCTCGGCTCACTGCAACCTCTACTTCCTGGGTTTAAGCAATTCTCTGCCTCAGCCTCCCGAGAAGCTGGGATTACAGGCACGAGACATCACGCCAGGCTGATGTTTTGTATTTTTAGTAGAGATGGGGTTTCACCATCTTGGCCAGACTGGTCTTAAATCCTGACCTCATGATCCACCCACCTTGGCCTCCCAAAGTGCTGGGATTACAGGTGGGAGCCACCACGCCCAGCCATCTACAAGTATTGAAATGCAGATACTATTGATCTAGCAAGTTCACTTCCAGGATTTCATCCTGTAGCAATCTTCATACATGTACACGTACACACAAAGCATAAACTGTTCACTGGAGCACTGTGTGCAATAGATAAAATAAGGAAAAACTAGTTAGATGTAGGAGATTTAATAACTACATTATGATACAGTTATACAAAGGGATACATGGCAACTGTTAAATATAATGAGCCATCAGAACCAGAAAGATGTTTATGATATGCCACGACGTGGGTGGAAACAATGGCGATTCACATACAACTATGTACTGAATCAGCCCAGTTTGATTAAAATTCATGTAATATATTCATAGAAAGAGGCCCAGAAGAATTTATACTAACAAATAAAAGTGGGGCCTCTAGAAAGGGGACTGGCAGAGGCAAAGGAAAGAGGTAAGACTTTCTACCTTTTATATTATTCTGAACTATTACAATATCATATAATGGATATGTACACTTTGGTAATAAAAAAACTCTTCAACCTGCTGCTAATCAATGTACTCATATTGGTGGCTAGAATTTAAATAATTTATTCTAATTTCCTGTTTAACTGTTCTCTAGGTCTTAAGTAGTCTGAGTAATATTTTACTGCGGTCAGTGTAAAAACAGTCCCTCCTTCCCTGTCCTCCACCCCCACTGCTGCCTCCCTACCATAAAGGAAAAGCTTCTTAGAAGCTAAGAAGACTTAGAAAGGGGGATCGATCTTCTTTTAGATCTTCCCAATTTATTGATGGTGCCACCTGGTGAATTTTCCAACTCCCCTTTTTCAACAATTTGCAACAGCAAATCCCTCAGTCTTAGCAATGCTACTACCTGCAGTTACCTGCTACCCAGAATAAGTGGGTCAGGCCAGTGCTTGCCCCTGCTCAGAATTCCAAGGGGCAGCTAGCATTGGAGGAGGTCACATGGGTTGGTGGGAAGGCTGCAAGGAAAATCTAAGGTCAGCCATCCACCCTAAAACTGCCCATTACTCTAAACAGGCATTTGCCCTGCACAAATACAGAAAGTATGGGATATAAACTGTGTAGACACCTTCTATCTGCCATCCACAAGCTAGTACTATCATCTGAAATAAAGCACCCCCAGCTTTTTATACATTTCATAACAAGATATAACAGGGTGAAAAAACAATTTTCATAATAGATGATACCAGAATTCTTCCGGGTAGGAGGGAGGAGGCTGCTCCTTGAAGAATATCGGGGTAAGCAAGCTTGGGCAGGTGTGCACTGGTTGTTGGCTGATTAGTTGTCTGTGCTTCTGAAAGGAAGCAGGGGAGCTGAAGACAGGGGAGAGGCTGGGAGAAGCCAGAGAGTCAATGACGTCCTGGTGGTGAGGGGGCCCAAAGGCATATTAACCACAGTGGCGAAGCCTCCAGTTCTGATGGAAGTTATTTTGTGTTTGGATGGAAGCCTGGGTTCCACTCCCCTCACAGTATCAGTAAATCCATACCCAACAATGTGCCTGGGAGTGTGGTTTCCAAGAGCATTCAAAAGAGGACTTGCTTTAGGATATATCCTCTGCACACAGGGGAACAGGAGCCCAGGAGGCAAAGGGGTACATAAGAACCAGCCCCTAGGACCCTGTAGAAACTGCATGTATGTGATGGGGGAGTGATGGGGGGAGGGTCCCACCACAGGCCGCAGGCTTGGTGTGGTCAAAGACAATTCTGACCAGGTCTTAAAGACCAGGAAGTCACCAGCTGATCTCAGGGTAACAACTAACTTCTCTCTTACTTATTAGAGCTCTTCTCACTTCTAAAGTGCTTTCATTTCCCAGCCTCACCTGTCCACACATGCAGATGGGCCAGCCAAGGTGTGGAATGCAAAATAAACTTTTCAGGTGGGAGGAGGAGGAGCTGGGAATCAGGTTGAGAAGAGGATGCAGAAGGCAGGAATGATGAAGGAGTGTCCTTGACTAGCAAAAACAGTTCGCCTCCCTTTGTCATCACGGAATGGTTGTGGGCAGGGCTAAGTGGGATTTTGAGCGGGGCTGATAAGCTTGGCACTCCATCCTCTGCCCCCTTTCCCTCTATCTCCCAGGTGCTGACACCATCTGGCTACCCAGTTACCTCCATGCAACAAGGGACCCACTCAGCCCTGCCCCACCCAACAGGTCAACACTCCCTGTTTCTCACCAGACTAGAAGTTCCATGAGGGTAGGGACAGCATCAGTAAGGTTCACCTTGGTATTCCCAACCCCTGATACAGGGTTAGAGGACTGGCACACACTAGCATTTGAAAAATATTGATGAAGTGAATGAATGGACCCTTAAAAGTATTGAGAAATCAGTGATTAAACAGATTTTCAGCTAGGTATCCCAGCATGTCAACCTCAATTCTCCCTTCATTCTCCAGGGCATGTGTGCTAACCCCAATGACTAACTCAAGAGAGGACGTTCAGGCAGCTGCAAGGAAGATCATTTGGTGGGGGCCATTTCACTGAATTGGTTTACTTGTCCAAAGCAGAGGGCCAGAAACAGCTTCTCCCCCACCTAACCTTAGCTCTGTCCTTTCTGCCAGAAGGAGAAACATGTTTCAGCTCTGTTTCCTGCTTCTTGTTAGCTTATGTTTTTTAACTTGAGACTTCATCCACAACTAAAAAATATCCAAGGACACACGGCCAGACAATGTTCCTGCCCATTCCCCACCAGCTATGTGACAAGAGCTAATTATAGCTCTTGTCAGGGCCAACATGCTGCTGTGATCATGTGGGAAGCTAGACAACCTGGAAGCCAGGCTAAGCCTTCCTCCGACAGGTAGTGATGTGCTTACTGCACCTTTTCATTTTCTCCATTTCCTCAGCTAGGAGTATCTCTACACAGGAACCATAGTTAGGTTTGAGAGATGGTGGGGGCAGACATTAGAAAAGGGCTAATTCTGCCTGGTTCCAAGGCCTTGACTATATATGATCATATACTGACCATGACAGTAATTCCAGCACAGATGGTTTTTGCCTGGCCTCTTTGTTGCCAAGGTTGCCTGTGTAATTAACTAATCTTGCTCTTTGGTAAATCTGGAGACTTTGTGAAGGTCTGGCTGGAAGTTCTGTCTACTACTCACAGCAGCATCCTTTCAAACTACCCTTCAATTCAAGAGGAACAGGATCCCTGGCTTAGTTTAAGATATGAGACTTTAAAATACACAAAAAAATTCAATCACTAAGAAGACAAGACTAGGAAAAGCATCTCATGGAAATAAGGTACTTAATTGCCCAAGACCTGAGCCCAGGGTGCCCCTTTCTTACCCCATCTTGGTCTAATCATCAATGTCCTGACTAGTTTAAATTTTTTACTATGCGATTTCCTTTTTTCCAGGGTGACAGCCATTGATTTGTAACACAAGGGCCCCTGTTATAGCTCTTGTCAGGGCCAACATGCTGCTGTGATCATGTGGGAAGCTAGACAACCTGGAAGCCAAGCTAAGCCTGCCTCCGACAGGTAGTGATGAACTTACCGCACCTTTCCATTTTCTCCATTTCCTCAACTGCAAGGTGATAACTTCGGACAAATGAATCTCTAAGGTCCCCTTCAGCCCTGACATTTTCCTATTCTGCATCAATTAAGGCAATCTCAGGAAAGTAGATGACAGCAGTGATTTAACTTTGCCAGGTACTTCTACTTCCAGCGTCCTTTCTTAATATGTAAAGCAGGAACCACTGGTCTAAGCCAGTTCAGATGATGTCTCAAATTCCTATTTCCCAGCCTAGGAGTATCTCTACACAGGAACCATAGTTAGGTTTGAGAGGTGGTGGGGGCAGACATTAGAAAAGGGCTAATTATGCCTGGTTCCAAGGCCTTGACTATGTATGATCATATCTCTATTACCCATATGATTGGAAAGAAACATGAAAGTTCTAAGCAATGGTTAATAAGAAATGGTTCTATTTTGGCATTAGCAAACATGGTATAATTTTGGAAAGAATTTTTATCCTAAGGTATCATTAAGTGTGTCTGTTCAATTTTGTTTTAAGTTGTATTTGACTTCCAAGGTAAATCTATTTTCCTTTATAAATAATGTGTCCCTTCGCACTGCAGAATTAACCTAGTGGTGAGATAGTCAAGTAATCATTACTCAAGATACAAAGTGAACAGTACATATAAATGGTGTCAGGGAACTACCAGTTTCCTTCACAAAATCCCACCCTGGTCATCCAAGGTTGGCAATATGGAGGAAGGTCCTATCTGGCGGTTATTCCCCGCAGCCTAAAGGGAAATGGCAGCAGCAAATTAGCAAAAATGTCCTAAAAGGAAGGTAACCCTTTGAGGGCTATGAGGTTCAGATGTCCTTCTCAAATAATTTTCTTTCTTTTTCCAACCTTGAAAGATTTCGTGTTTGATTTTATTAGACTTTTGTGGATTTCCATGCAGATGGGAGCAGGTTTGCCTCCTCTGTGGACCTAAAATCACTCCAACATTTTACTGCTTCTCCTTATTTCTGTTCAGCATCAAGACATAAAAGTATATTTCAAAAAATACCCAGAGAGAAAACAACTTGCCTAGAAGTCACCTGCCAAGAAACAGGATCAGAAATCATCGATCCTTCATGCACTAGCTTCTGTGATCTTTCTGGGGTCACCCTTTTAAGTAGTCTGAGGATCCCACTCTCCATTTGCCCAAAGACTGATTACCAGTTCCAATTTACCTTCAGATCATCAGGGATGAAGACTTTGCGAGCTTTCTTAATCATGGGCTGTGGCTTCAGTTCTTCCTCGGAGAACTTGCGTTTGCGAGGGTCAAACATTTCCTGGCCAGGGATGCTGGAGAGGGCAAGATCTGCTGGGTCTGGTTCATAACCCACTGGGACCTGGATGGTGTCAGGATCAATGGGACTCGGTGTATTGCGGTTTGCTGGCAACAGCTGACCTGGAACAACACAGGAGTTTCAGTTCATGAACACCCTAGGGAGACCCAGTAGGCAGGTACTTAACGATGCCCTGAGACAACTGGCAACAGTCTTCAGCTCACTTATATATGATCCTAACATGATTGATCTTATCCTCACTGCATCTCGGAGAACTTGACTCATGTCACATCAGGCAAAACAGAAACCCACATACACATGTTCAAAAACTAGAGAGGGAGAAGCCCAATTTAAAAATACACATTCATTCTTTCCTATCACACATTCACCAACGATGTGCCAAGCACTCTTTAAGATGCAATGAGCAGAACTACATAATTTTCCCATTAAGGGTGTTTTTCAGGTAAGGCAGGGAGACAGCCCAATAACTAGCCAGTTAGAGGAGCGTGTAGATGTTGGGATGGAAGTAAATCTTGTGTGATTCCACAGTGTGAGGAAATGGCACGTAACACAAAGGAGGTCAGGGAGCGTTTCCTAGAGATGACATTTGGTACAGCTGCATCTTGAGACAAAGGATAATTAGAAAAAGAAAAAGGTATTCTAGGCTCCAAGATAAGACAGAGGTTTGCATTTCTGTATCTGTCATGCTGAATCAAAAGAAAACATGGAGCAAGCACAAGAGATGTGGCCAAGAAGGTGGGCAGTGGGGATATGATTTTTAAAAATCCAAATGTCACTGAGGGATTCTGAGCAGTGAAGTGACAAACAGCTGATGTTTGGAAAGAAGACTCCGGTGGCGTGATGGACAGATTGCATGGGGCATGGCTGCAGAATGATCAGATACAAGACTTGTGATAAACAGTGTACACGTCAATAGTAGCAGTGGAGATAGTGAGAAGGGGATTCATTCGAGAAATATTTAACAAATTAGAACATGATGGAGATGATCTAATTTCCACTTGAGGATTCTACAGGCAAAACCACTGAAATGCACAAACATCCACAGAACAATGGGTTTATTGTGTTTCTTAATGTGTCTTACTGGTGAAAGTGAACTTCCTAACAGACCCAAATGTTTATGCTGGGAGCTCTGAATTTTAACTTCTAGTTTTCATCTGAATTGTATAATCTCTCCTTTCATGCCCCACGAATAAATGAGAGGATGTAGTTCAGCTGTGTTTGGCCCATCTTGTCCTCTTCCTCACTGTCAATGGTAGGCCAGTGTGTGAAGTATTCTTTAGGTTTCATTAAAACCTACCCTAGGTCGAAGCATGAAGCCACTGGCTCGGATTCTAGCAAAACTGTGAAACCGTACTCATCTGTCTTCTGGAAAGGCCTGGTGGGGAGCTTGCAAAATGTATGCTCTGGGTGACCTTCTAGGTCCCCACTCTGCTTTGCACTCTCTTTGTATCCTGCTTGCCAAAGAGGAAGAGATGGGCCCCAAGGTGCTGGCAGAGGATGGAAATTTCTCATTAGCCAAGCTGTAGCTTAGCTCTAGCTTCTGAGACTGCTGAGTTCTGTACTGGATGGTGTCAAGCCAGATTTGATCTCATGCCACTTGACATTGCCTCAGAAAATCAACCACATGTGATTCAAATGGGGACTTTATTTTCCCTTTAGAAACTCTCTTTGAACTTAATAACAAAGCTATCCAATGCCCCATCACCACAACGTCCCCACCTCCCTATACTTACACAGGCATATGCCCCACCTCCTATCATCATGAAACACCTCTTAATACCTCCCAAGTCTAACTCCTTCAAGCTTCTCCTTAGTACTCCAAGATTCTGTTTATTATGCTGAATCAAAATGTTCTTTTTCATTGCTTTATGAGTGTTGTGAAGCTGTACACACACACCCCTCCTCCATCATCTCTATCATACCACATGGTCTTTTATGTTTTATTCATTTATCCCCACCTAACTCCTCAACATGATGCACACTTCAGAGTTCAGCTTCTACAAAGAGTATTCCTCATTTAATGGTGGCCTCTGAGATGCTGGACTCTGACATTCATTCATGGATATTCTAACAATAACACTTCCCTTTAGATGGAAACTTTCTTGGCATTCTTTCTACGTTTTTCCTCCAATGGAAGTAGGTCAGCCCTACCTGCAGAGTGGAGGAAACCTAACTGGACCACAGACAAGGTACGTGGCTTCCCCGGTATCAAACAGCCAATGGCAAAGAACCTGAGAAACAAAACCAGGGCCCTTTTCTCCCCAAAGATACCTTAGTGCCATCTTATTTATTTATATTTTCTGCTGAATTAGCTCTATTGAACTTATTTTTTTCCTTTTATTTCAAAATGTCAAATAGTATCATGAGCAAGGGGTATTTTTTCCTATCTCCTGTGGATTTTCAAAATTTTAGTATAAGAAGTGTCAATGTAAGAATGCGTCACTAATTTTTGTAGATGATCTAAGATGTTCACTGTGAAATTTCAACAAATACAGAAATGTGTCAAGAAAGTAAAAGTCCCGATTCTTGCTACCCTCTTCTTCCCCACAGTGCCTCTCACTGTCTTTCCAGAGGTGATCACCCTTAAGATCTTGACATGAACCTCTTGTATCTCGGTTTTTTACACATAAGTGGTTTAACCCAAGTGGGATTATACTACCCACATATCTTAATTTTTTAATCTGTCAGTATACCATATGCAATTTCTAAGGTAGGTACAAATAAAACTACTTTCGCTTTTTAAAGGGTCAACAGTATCCCATAGTTTGGATATATAACAATGTGTAATTCCCTAACTGATGAATTTTTAGGTATATATTTCTGTAGAAGTGATTTCTAGAAGTGAGACTACTCACACGAAAGGCATGTACATTTTATATTTTTAAACATACTGCAGAATGCTATTAAAAAGTCAAAAAATAACAGATGTTGGTGAGGTTGCAGAGAAAAGGGAACATTCATTTACTGTTGGTGGGAATATAGATTAGTCTGGCCCCTGTGGAAACCAGTTTGGAGAGTTCTCAAAGAACTAAATATACAACTACCACTAGATCTGGCAATTCCATTACTGGGTATATATCCAAAGGAACATAAATCCTTTGACCAAAAAGACACCTGCATTTGCATGTTCACTGTGGTGCTATTCACAGTGGCAAAGACAGAATCATCTTAGATGCGTATCTATAGTGGGCTGGATAAAGAAAAAGTCATACATCTATGCCATGGAATACTGTATCCATTAAAAAGAATGAAATCCTGTCCTTGCAGCAACATAGATGCAGCTGGAGGCCATCATCCTAACTGAATTAACACAGAAAACCAAATACTGCATGTTTTCACTTATAAGTAGGCACTAAGCATTGGGTACACGCAGACATAATGCTGGGAACCTCAGACACTGGGGGTTCTAAAAAGGTGGAGGAAGTGAGGGGGGCAAGGTTGAAAAACGATCTGTTAGGTACTATGTTCACTATCTACATGAAGGGTTCAAAGCCCAAATCTCAGTATCATGTAGTACATTCATGTAACAAACCTGCGCATGTACCCACTGAATCTAAAATTAAAAAAAAAATTTAAAACCTACTGCCAAACTGTGCTCCAAAAAATGTCATACCTATTTACACTTGTACCACCATCTGTAAGAGTGCACATTTCCTACATTACTTTTTAAATGTTGCCATCTTATATGCACAACTATTACTATTGTTTTGTTATTTGAGTCTTGCTCTGTCACCCACGACTCTGTCACTAGAGTGCAGTGGCATGATCTCAGCTCACTGCAACCTCTGCCTCCTGGATTCTAGAAATTCTCCTGCCTCAGCCTCCTGAGTAGCTGGGACTACAGGCACCCAGCACCACGCCCAGCTAATTTTTGTTTTTTGTATTTTAAGTAGAGACTAAAATTGTTTTGTATTTTTTAGTAGAGACTGTTTTTAGTAGAGGGTTTCACCGTGTTGGCCAGGCCAGTCTTACTATTGTTTTAATTTGTATTTCCTTGGTTACTGGTGACACGATCATTTCACATGTTTACTGGTTATTTGTTCTTTTTAGAAAATATTCTAAGGTATTTTTATACATATACTCTTCTAGGTGAGTTTCAGAGTACACTGGTTAAGTTATATTTAAAGGTATCATTCTAACTATAATAATATTTGGGATTTTTGAAATATAATTTCATAGGTTAATTTGAGGACAACTATCTTTAAAACATTGAATACACCCACAGTATGCACTCCATTTTTATTTTTTGTGAGCCTTTGAAAAAAAACGTATCAGTTCAGTTTTACAGTTTTCTTCATTTGAGCTTTTCACATTTCAGTTTATTCCTTAAATGTTTTATAAGAGTTGTCACTAATATATGTTACCCTATTATATTTCCTAAGTGGTTACCGCTGCTATATAGGAAGCTACAAATTTTAAAAGCTATTGGTTTATATCCAGCCACTTTACATTGTTCTAATAGTTCTAACTTCTCTTAGTTTTTAGGTGAATAATCTCATCTTCTGCCTCTATAGACAGAGGTGGCTTCCTTTCTATATTTATTTATTTATTTTTTTGAGATGGAGTTTCACTCTTGTTACCCAGACTGGAGTGCCATGGCACAATCTTGGCTCACCGCAACCTCCGCCTCCTGGGTTCAGGCAATTCTCCTGCCTCAGCCTCCTGAGTAGCTGAGATTACAGGCACACGCTACCATGCCCAGCTAATTTTTTGTATTTTTAGTAGAGACGGGGTTTCACCATGTTGACCAGGAAGGTCTCGATCTCTTGACCTTGTGATCCACCCGCCTCAGCCTCCCAAAGTGCTGGGATTACAGGCATGAGCCACCATGCCAATTCCTACTTTCTTTTTAATAATTTTCAATTTCACTGCATGAGCTGGCCTCTGCAAGACAATGAGAAGAGAGACTGATGCTAATGATCACTGCTTGTCTCAGATTTTAATGGAATATGCTTTTAATTCTTCAGATCCTTCCATTTAAAGGCTTGTTCTAGTATCTTAGTAGATACAACTTGATGAGGTAAGGCAGTTCCAACCCTTCTGACCTTGTTTTACTAATAATTTTTTAAAACCAGAAATAGTATACTAACTTCTCCTAAAG